TTGCCTTTCAACTCTCCTTTTTGTGGGTCTTGAGATTGAAAATGCAGTTGTGATTCGGTTCTTATTCAGTTGAACCTTTCTTTCTACTCAACCCATAAAGTTTACCACAATGCTGCCTGCCCGTGCCTCCCTGATTCCCTGCCTGTGGTGCTATGCGGTTTCGTGCGGTGCGGTGAGGCGCGGGTGGGATGGGTTGTGGTGCGGTGTCGTGTGGTGTGGTGCGGTGTGGTGTGGTGCATACCTGCAGGCTCAAGGGGCAGATGATGGAGGAGGTGCCGCGCATATTTGAGGCGGTGTTTGAGTGCACATTGGACATGATAACCAAGAACTTCGAGGACTACCCCGAGCACCGCCTCAAGTTCTTCTCGCTGCTGCGCGCCATTGCCTGCCACTGCTTCCGCTCCCTCTTCACACTCTCGCCCCAGGTCCGCCCGTGCACCATGCACCGTGCACCATGCACCGTGCACCATGCACCACCTCCTTCTGTAGTTTTCCTTCCATACTCGATTCGTTCTACGTTCTCTTCCGTCTCGTTCCTTCCTTCCCTCCAACTCGTTCCTCGGTTCCCTCCTTGTTCTGTACCTGCAGCAATTGAAGCTGGTGATGGACAGCATAGTGTGGGCGTTCCGCCACACGGAGCGCAACATCGCAGAGACAGGCCTCAACCTGCTGCTCGAAATGCTCTCCAACTTCCAGGTCCGTGCCTGTGTGTGCCGCCCTATGCCCATGCATCCTGGGCGGTGCGGTTCCATGCCTTGTTGTTCAGGTCAGCATCCCCGGCACCTCATACCTTGGTGCAAGAAATTTTCCACAGTGCATTTCCGCTGTTTCTCTGTCCCGCCTCGTTTTTTAAACTGCCTTCCGCCCCTGTGCCCCTGTGCCCGTGTGCGCATGTGCCCCTGTGCCCTTGTTTTCCGTGTGCCCCTGTGCAACAGAACTCGGAGTTCTGCAACCAGTTCCACCAGACGTACTTCCTGACCATAGAGCAGGAGATCTTCGCCGTGCTCACAGACACCTTCCACAAGCCCGGCTTCAAGCTGCACACGCTCATCCTGCAACACCTCTTCTGCCTCGTGAGTGTCTGTCTGACTGCCTCGCCTACTCACCTACGCATTCTTCTGCCTCATCCTTCACCAATCCAGTGCTCTGTCCCTTCCCTTATCCAAGCCTGCTCCAGTCAGCTCAGATACCCCTAGAAAGCTCACTTCCCTTTTTCCCTGTACTCACCCACCATCCATCCACTCCCCCAGGCGGACTCAGGGGTGCTGACCCAGCCGCTGTGGGATGTGGCCACCCTCGGCCCCACAGCCTTCCCATCCAACGCGGCGTTTGTGTGTGACTATACCGTCAAGCTGCTGTCCACGTCCTTTCCCAACATGACGCCGCAGGAGGTGCGTGCCACTCGCCCGTTGTTCAGGCGCCTCAGAGGTACATGCGTGTCAGTGTCAGCTTCTCATCCCATGTGCCTTTGCCATGCCTCGCATGGTTAGTCCATACCTTCCTTTGCATACCTTGGGCAGCATGCAGCTGCAGTGTTCCCTTGCCTCCTTCCCCTTTCTCCCTTACTATACCTGGTGTTCCCTACACCCCCGCTCCCTTGCTCCTCCCCTCTACCTCGCCTTCTGCTCCTGTCTGTTTCACGTTGTTGCTGTTTCACCTTTCTTCTCTGTTCTTTCTTCCTCTTTGTGTACTTGTCGGCACGCGGCCTGTGTGTGGTGCGTGGGGCGGCGTGGGGAAGCAGATCACCCAGTTCGTGAGTGGGCTGATGACAGCCAAGGCGGACACGGCCACATTCAAGAACCACCTGCGCGACTTCCTCGTGCAGTCCAAGGAGTTTTCAGACAAGGTGTGGGTCTGATAATAATAAGGCTATACAGGCTCCGTGTGGGTTGGATCAGCAGCTCTGTATGGGTTCATTTCCACTGTCTCAGCTGCTAAGCCTGCTAGTGTGGCTCGGGGATTCAGCGTCCAACTGACCCTCTTTCACTCTACTTCCCTCTTTTTGCTTCCCCCCGTCCGTCTTCTCCTTTCCCTCCCACCCTCGCGCTTCTCCTTTCTCTTCATCCCGTGGTCACCGTGTGCAGGACAACAAGGAGCTGTATGCGGAGGAGGCAGCGGCGCAGAGGGAGGCAGAGCGGCAGCGCATGCTGTCCATCCCGGGGCTCATAGCGCCCAACGAGCTGCAGGAGGACATGACTGACGCCTGATGCCGCTGTGCTGTTGATGCCGTGCTGTCGTGCTGACGTGCTGTGATGGAAAGAGAGAGAGAAAAGGGGAGATGGAGGGTGAGGGGTTTGTAAAATGAGGGTGGGCAACGGGGAAATTGGGGGGAGGTGGGGAGGAGGGATAAGGGTGGTTTGAGGGTAGTGGTGGATGGCTTATGCCCTTGTACTGGAACACCGATTGTACTGTTTGGGTGCTGCTGCTGCCGCCGCTTCTGCTGCTGCTGCTGCTGATGCTTCTGCTGGTACTGGTGCTGGTGGTGGTGCCGCCGCTGCTGGTGCTGCTGCTGGTTCCTGCATTTGTGCCCATGGACCGCCTACAGGTTGAGCTTTCAATATGGGTTGCAGCAGCTGGCAGGCACCCTGCAGGCATCTGCTGAACCCCTTGCTCCTATTCTTCCTGCTCCCCCTCCCGCCTGCGTATCGCAGCGTGCCTGCCTGCGTATCCGTCTCGCTTATCTGTTCCCCTGCTCCCTGTCTTCTCCTACACTTCCTTCCGCCCCTCTCTCTCTCTCTCTCTCTCTCTCTCTCTCTCTCTCTCTCTCTCTCTCTCTCTCTCTCTCTCTCTCTCTCTCTCTCTCTCTCTCTCTCTCTCCTTTTCTCACCTCTCAACGCGTGCCTGCGAGTGCGCACTGTTCCCTCGCTTCTTCTGACTCTCTCGGTTCCTGGTGTGAATGTGTGCGAAGCGCGTAGCATAGCAATGCAGGGGTTTGATAGCTGCAGCAGTGTGTTGACCGTCTGTGAGCTGTTTTCAGCTCTGCAAGCTGAAGGTCCTGAGCAGCATTTGGAGTCCTTCCGGGATGCTGTTGCTCTCGTCGGGGAGGTACAGGGTTCACCAAGACATTTACGCATTCCCTCCCCTCCAGCTCGTGATGCAGCTTAGTTGTCTCTCACCTGACCTGACTCTCTTCTCTCTGCGCACATGTGCGATGCACGCACATGAGAAGAAGTGTGTCGTTTAGCAGACAGCAGAGATGCCATAGGAGTTTGTGAAAGGGTGTTGGTGGTAGTCGTGGGAAGTCGGTCTCTGCTGTCGGTCTACATGGTAGGGTAGGGTGAGCTGAGCTGCTGAAGCTAATGGTTGAGCAGTAGCTGAGAGGGTCTTCTAGCTGCTTACATGTTTAACTACTATTGATGCTGCTCGCATCTTACTACTATAGTATACGTTACATTTACTTTCGGAATTGTGCACATTACTAGTTGATATCACATGGTGATGAACATTAGCTTTTTCATTACATGATTTGAAGCATACAAGTGCTCATGATTTTTTTTAAAGTTATATCTCTGGTCGTAACCAGTTTAAGGGGTATCCATTTCTAGATGAGCACGTGCTGACCCCTTCTTTGGGCTGGCAGAACACGCCTGCACGGGGGTGGGTTTGATCCCAGCACCTCATCTATCGGAAGTGCGTCTTTCTACTGACTAGGCCACTTCTGGATATAAGTGCTCATGCTACTGATAGCCTGAGAGCGTAAGACATTGTACATGAACAAAGCCCATGACGAGGACCATGTTCGGTGCTCGCCACTGTATCAACTTTTCCCGCCAACCCAGCTCATCACAATCAGCCTTCCCACGTTTCCGCTGTTGCAAGTGCATGATTTTTTCGTAGGCGAGGAGGCGGCGAAAGCTTGTGTTACCAGTTGGATGATGCGCGTATGTGGAGAGGGGGTTTCTAGAACCGAAGGCTCAGCGTGCAGAACGTCTTGTATCCTCTTTATCCCTTGAATATCTGGGGTGACACAAGCACGCATCTACAGCATACCACTCAGTTGCGGTGCTGTGCTCATCTTGTTAGCCACATCAGTGATTTTTATTTCTTTCCTGGGCCTCTGGTCCCTCACGAAAATGACGTTGCTTCTGAAAAGGGCATGCGTCCACTCAAATGTTTACAGGAGCAGTTAGTTGGAGACATTTTCAGGGCCAGACCTGGTGGGGAAGTTCTGAAGCTGAAAATGTGGATAATCGCGACCAGCCCTAGGTTCTGTCTCCTTCCTTCCTGTCTCGTGTCACGTCCTTAATCGCCCTGCAGTTAGTTGGTGGTTCATGTCGCTGCTTTCTTTGGACTCGACTTCCTGTATTTCGACGTTGTAACAGCAAGGCTGTAGACTCCGCCGTACTTACCTAACTGATACTTTACGCTGGTGCGCTGTCTATTCGGAGTAAAGTCAAACTTCCACCAGCATCGCCTGGTCAAGCGAAGCACTTGTTTCGTGGTAACGATAAGAGTACATACATAGATAGTTTTTCGAGCAAAGGCACCGCGTCTATCGCACGGGCGTAGGAGATAAGGAGCGTTTTTTGTGCTAACTTGATTACAAGGACCAGGGTACATTATTCCCATTACGTCTACAAGGACAGTCCAGAATCGCTCCGTAGTGTCGCCTGCCTTATGAGACCCATTACCTAGTTGGCACATAAGCGTTAGAAACCATTTAAATGCGAGAGTAACCATTCTTCAATGAGCGAGTAACCCTTAGATGCTCGAGCCGTGTACCCTCTCACAGCGCGCCGAGACATTGCGGGATCAGGACTTGCCGTTGAGACACCATCACCGTGGATGCGTCAAGTGGCGGGCCCTCCCTCGCGGGGGCCCTGCCCGCTGCCTTGGGAACGGCCGCGCTGGTCCCACCTCTCGTTACTGTCACATCCGCTTCACCCGGCGACGCTGCAACGGACGTGTCAGGTGCTTCGAAGCTGAATCAACACCAGCAACAGGAGCAACAGCAGCAGCAGCAGGAGCAGCAGCGACGAGGAGGAGGAGAGCATTCAGATATGATCGACAATGCCGTGTTGTTACCCGACAGCCAGGAGGCAGACCTATTGCAACCCAACGACGCGTGTGGTGGTCATGTAGTAACGTCGTCACCCCTGCGCTCCGCAGGGCCGGCGCGCGCGTGTCCGGTGAACGGGATCGCGCTCGGTGCGGCGGGGGAAGAAGCGGAGAGTGCGCTGGGAGTGGTAGGGGGAGAAGCGGAGATCGCGCGTGGCGGAGGGGACGGCGATGGGGTTGCTATGGGGGAGAAAGCGCGGGCGGCGGAAGCGACGGGGGACGGAAGCACATTTGCATCAATTGGTGGGGGAGGGGATCCGCAGGGCGGGAAGAATGGAGGCGGAGAGGGAGGGGAAGGACACGCGGATGGGAAGGGGAATGCTGTCGGAAATTTAGAGGGCACAGTGGACGAGCGGAGAGGGACTCCCGCGGAAGAGGCACTGGGGGAAGGGAGCAGGGCGGAGGGGGGACAGCCGGTCGGGGGGCAGACGGAAGAGGGGGAAGGGTCATGCAATGCAGAGCAACGAGCGGTGGCGGAGGGGGAATCGGGAGCTCTTATAAAAGGGGAAGGGATTGGAGACGGAGAGAAGGAGGAGGCGGGGGCGAGAGAGAGTGGAGAAGCGGAGGGATTGTTGGTAGGTGGAGTCACGAAGGAAGCGTGCGAGAATGGCGAGAGGGGCGAGAGGAAGGTGCGGTGGTTGGATGACGAGGGCCAGACGTTGACCGACGTTCGAGAATTCGAACCCAGGTGGGTGCTTTTTGCGTTTGCATTGCCTGTCCCTCGTGTGCTTTGCTTCGCATGGTGCTGGTGCTGACAACCTGATGAGTCGCCTAGCAGTCCAGGTGGGTTCTTCGTGCTGGTGCTATGCATACTGAGCCATTTCTGAGCTGTTGCTTTTCTGGCTGGTTTATTGCAGTCTGGCTCACTGAGTGGAACAGGGTAGGCAAGTGATTCTTAACTATTGCATGACTGGTGCTTTTGAAGGTTCAAAATCCTCATTCAAGCCATGTATGGATGCTTCGCGTTGTGGCATGGGATGCGATGGCATGGATGGTATGGGATGTGATGATGGGATGGCATGGATGGCATGGATGGCATGGATGGTATGGGATGGCATGGCGTGAAATTGTGTACAATGGTTTTTGTTTGGGTTCGCTGTTGCAGTGAGTCAAGCAGTGATGATGACGATGAGCATTACAAGGAGAGCAGCCATAAGTGCAGCTGCACCATCCTATAGCCCCCTTACTCCGCCTCTTGAACGAGATGCTTCAAGAGCCGCATGCCTCCCAGGAATACCCGCCCGAGCGTTCCTCCTTTTCTCCCTTCCCTCTCTCCTCCCTCCCCCCTCCTCCCCCCTCCTCCTCCTCCTCCTCCTCCTCCTCCTCCTCCTCCTCCTCCTCCTCCTCCTCCTCCTCCTCCTCCTCCTCCTCCTCCTCCCCCTCCTCCTCTTCCTCCTCTCTCTCTCTCTCTCTCTCTCTCTCTCTCTCTCTCTCTCTCTCTCTCTCTCTCTCTCTCTCTCCCTCTCTCCCCCCCTCTTTCTCCCTTTCTCCCTCCCTTCCCTCCCTAACCCTAATCATCTTTGCTCATACCTCCTACCATCTCTCTTTGCTCTCTCTTTCACGTACATTTGCGCTCCAAACCCGCCTCTTATCAAAGCCTTCAATGCCCCACCCTCTAACCATCACGACACTTGGTTGAATCGACTTTCACCAGCCAAGTCACAGTCATTCATCGCTCGTATACCACCAGCCAACCATGTGTCCACCCATTGGTTGGCTGGTAGTAATACCGTAGTATCATCATCTTGCCATTGCATTGGCCTGCCCGTGCAGGCTCAATAAGGATTGATTCAGTTTGTGGTTTAGAGTAGTGCATATGTTTTTAGCTAAGTTCGTGACCTACCGTAGGTCTTTGTGTGCAGTGCTTGCATTGGGCACTGGTTGTTCCTGCGTTAGTTGCTTACTTTTAGGAGGTGAAATTGCAGTAGCTAGGTAGCATCAGCATTAAATTTTTGCTACCTTCCCCCTTAGTTTACTTTACTTTCATATACATTTTGAAACTACATTGTTTGTAGGTCGTTCGCGAACATTGATCCTCGCTTCTCAGCTCTAGCGCAGCTTACGTGGCCTGGTCACCAGCAGGAACATCAGACAGCTCAGCCGCTGTTCCATGTGATCGTCAATAATGCACAGCGCCTCAGCTCGCTTTTGGGATTCCATTTCAGTCCTTTCTGCTGAGACGCAAGTCTCTCGATGACGCAAGTAGGTCTCACTGAACTGCTGTAGTGGGGAGGAGCTACAGTACTATGGTGTGGTGCTTTTGGCACAAGTCCCTAAGTTTGCTTTTTTCAATCGATTTTCACCTTTTTTTGAAGTTCGATTGTGAGGTCGAGAAGTTGATTTTGTGAAATTCGAGTCGCGGGGCCGATTTCTGCTAAGTCAAAAGGTGACTATCGAGGATCGAAAACGAGATTCGACCTTCTCTGAGTCGCGATGACAAATATAGGTTACCCGATGTAGTCTACGCGGCTCTGGCGTAGTCGTCGAAATACTCATCGTCGATGTCGTCACGATTCGTCTAGTTCGTGAAGCTGCTGAATATATGCAGAAATGACCACGTTCGAAACCATGCTTCGAAGTTCGAGCCTGGCTCGACTGACTGTGTGGTTACATGACTTACCAGGTCAATATTCGAACGGAGACCTGGTTCCATGCGAAGACTATTGCGACATTCACGAAGCCAGTAGCCAGTTCAAGTTCGACCAGATTTCTGAACTTTGAATCAAAAGCACCACGCCCTTACAGCAGTAGCTCCACAATGAACTCGAACCACTGCGGGTTCATTTCAGAGCTTCTGCTGCGGGTCTCTTATCTCGTTGAATCTATTTTGAGCGCGCTTCTATCAATACCTGCCAGTTAGAACCACCGTCGTGATAAACCTTCCGAGATGGAAACAGCCACTACTATCGACAGCCTTTCTGATGACCTTCTCATTAGGATCCTCTGGCATTCTCAACCTGCTCACGGAAAATCCGTGGACAAATTGTGGAGCTCGATAGCCCCCGATCTCAAGTGTATCCAACCACCGGGTGCTTATGAATTAGTTACTGAAAAGCACGAGACACCCATTCCCACCCCGGGTCGCTCAGCGGACGTCGCTTTAAGCCTCTTCAATGCGTCTATCTGCCGTCGCTGGCGTAACCTTGCAAAAGCACACGTCTCAACGCTTGTATTTAGGGAAAACTGCACGGTTTCCAAGGAAGACGTTGCTGTCGTCGTCTCTCGTTTTCCGAACCTGACGCATCTGCACCTGAATGACGGCAGCGTGGACAGACTGGATGACGATTTTCTTTCTCACCTAGCCTCATCGTGCCCTAATCTGACCACTCTCCACGTAGGATGGGGAATTTTAAGATCGCGCGATCGCAGAAAGTTTGAGCACCGAATAACGCCAGAGGGGCTGGATTTACTCTTTAAGAAGTGCACGGGGCTGCAGCAGCTGTCTATCTTCCTTTCTCTCAATGATGGAGATCTACCCGCTTCGTTCTTCCAGCTTTGGAGAATCTGAGTTTCAGAAACTTCTCCTCTCTCACTACCCTCTACGTTGGCTTCCCGTTTCATCAGCAGCACCTTACTACCCTCGCTCACCTCCCTGACCTTTCCCATCTTTCCTTCCTTTCTTCATGCCAAATCAGTCAAGACTCATCTCTTTCAAGCATGGTGACTTCCCTTCAGTCACTGAAATTCTTCGAACCATGTCCTCGGTTCGACTCTATCATCTCACCGACATCGCCATGCACCCGCTTAAAAGTCCTGTTGATTTCAGATTGCAACTTTCTCCTTCGCCTGCCAGACCACCTGGGAGAGCTGCTACCATGCCTGCGCAGGCTCGTCATGAAATCCTGCAACTTGCTGGAGCTGCCTGATAACTTCACCTCTCTCACCCGCTTGGAAATCTTCGTCCTTTATGATTGTCACCCAATTAGGAGCCTGCCCAGAAACTTTGGCAAATTGACGGCTTTAAAAATGTTGTCATTAGTTGGGTTGGACATCCTAACCCTCCCCGATTCAGTATATAATCTCACCTCACTGCAGGCCCTCTTAGACCAGGATAGTTTCCAACTGCCACGAAGATTTGGAGAGCTTGCTAGCCTCCAGCTGCTCTATTTGGAGGGCAGCTACGATTTCCCGCCCTCGTTTACACGATTAACTTCTTTGACAGAGCTTCATCTCACCAAGTGTGATATCTCTGAACTCGAAGGTATGCAAAGGCTGCAGAACTTTAAAAATATGTGGTGTGTGATTGCGACACTAATGAGACTCTTCCAAAGTATTGGCAAGTCTCACTCTGTCTTGAATTCCTCCGTTTTTATATCTATTCCTAAATTACAATCCGTGTTTATCGACGACTATAAACCGGCTATTTTCCTTTCCTCAATATCAGGGGGATTGGAGAGCTTAGGAAGGCTGAAGGAGCTGGAGCTGACTCGATGTGACACTTTCAGGGACATCCCATTGTCCCTGCCACGTTCGCTTGAGGTCCTGCAAGTGGAGAATGATCTCGACATGACTTACCTTACTGACTTGTCACAGCTGCCAAATCTGACGGATCTGACGTTGGACCTGCCTGATCTGGAGCATGGAGTGGAAATGAGCAGGGGTTTGACCCAGCTGCGGCACTTGACCCTGCATTTGCCAGGCACGGATACGGAGCTTCCCTTACCGCTCACATTCCCACAGCTCCGATCGCTCACAATCTGCGCAGCTGGATTGGAGAAGCTGCCAGAAGACATTGCGACAACGTTACCGCAGCTGCGGGAGCTGAATGTGGAGTGGACCGAGTCGCTGGACACAATGCTGGGCATGAGTGAGCTGCGGAGCCTCACATCCTTGGAGACAGCTGCAGATGGCGCCGATATAAGCTTTGTGCCTGTGACCATCAGCTCCTTGCCTCAACTGCAGAAGCTGTGCGTGTATGGCAGACGCTCAAGCATACGTCTACGCTCACTAGTTTATTCACATAGCAGAGTGAGAACTAATCATTCCAGCTTTCTGCCTAACATTGAGTAGCTTAGGACAATTTCCGACTAGGCGCGTAGTCATGAACTTCGCGCTTCTGCGTAATACATCTTGTATTAGCGCATTGTGTTTCCAAGCCTCGCACAATCATCGCGTTGCGTTTCCCGGTCGCCTTCCTCTCTCGCGCATCGCCTATCACTCTCCTGTCGCCTTCGCGCTCTCTCTCCCGTCGCCTAACGCGCTCTCTCTCCCGTCGCCTCCGCGCTCTCTCTCCAGTCGCCTCCGCGCTCTCTCTCCCGTCGCCTCCGCGCTCTCACTCCCGTCGCCTTTGCGCTCTCTCATCCGTCTCGCGCTCTCTCTCCCATCGCCTTCGCACTCTCTCTCCCATCGCCTTCGCGCAATCTCCCCTCCCATCCCGTCCACTTCATCTCCTATCGCTCACGTCCTCCCCTCCCATCCCGTCGTTCGCCTCTTTTCCCCTCCCATCCCGTCGTTCGCTTCCTTTCCCCTCCCATCCCGTCGTTCGCTTCCTTTCCCCTCCCATCCCGTCGTTCGCCTCCTTTCCCCTCCCATCCCGTCGTTCGCCTCCTCTCCCCTCCCATCCCGTCGTTCGCCTCCTTTCCCCTCCCATCCCGTCGTTCGCTTCCTTTCCCCTCCCATCCCGTCGTTCGCTTCCTTTCCCCTCCCATCCCGTCGTTTGCTTCCTTTCCCCTCCCATCCCGTCGTTCGCCTCCTTTCCCCTCCCATCCCGTCGTTCGCTTCCTTTCCCCTCCCATCCCGTCGTTTGCTTCCTTTCCCCTCCCATCCCGTCGTTCGCCTCCTCTCCCCTCCATCCCGTCGTTCGCCTCCTCTCCTCTCCTTTCCCGTCGTTCGCTTCCTTCCCCTCCCATCCCGTCGTTCGCTTCCTTTCCCCTCCCATCCCGTCATTCGCCTCCTCTCTCCCTCCCTTCCGTAGTTCTTCACGGTCTCCCCTCCCATCCCGTTGTTCCCCTCTCTCTCTCCCTATTTTTTTACCTCTCTCAACCTCAAGCCCAAGGAACCCTTTTTCTCGCAGCTCTTCCATTCGTCGGCCAACATTCACTTCCAGATCGTGCATATGTGTGTGCGCTGAGTTGTGCCTGTGCTGTTGATTGTTGTGAGTTTTGGTGAAGTTACGATGACTGCTCGAGTGAGTACAGGCCTTGCAACCTTGCGCCAAATTCGCACATGTATGTGTGTGAGTTGTGTGTGAGTTTCGCCGCCAATCAGAAATGTAAACAGGTTCCAAATGCTCCCCGTTCATATCGAGACTTGTCTGGAGTGAAAAAATAAAAACGTACAGCACTTCCAACTTTCCGCGACGTCCCAAAAAAACTTCTGTTTTCAAGTGGACCCAACTAGAAGGGGGGGGTCACTATTTTAGCTGTTGGCTTTAAGAACATCAGTGTTTTGCTAACAGCTACTACCAGCTTACAACCATTTACACAGCTTCCATCATCTCTCTCCAGATCAACCATGTCTCTTTACTTATGCAGCTAATAGATATTTGAAATCAACAAATCTGATCTACATACGTCAGCTTACAACTGCCAGCTTGTTTTGTATTTGCATCACACATACTTTAACACTGCATATGCCACAATCTGAAGAAACGTACTATTCCTGCATTCTGCAAGGGAGGTAACATACAGGTACCGGTACTTTACCAGAGTATCCTTAAACACTAGAGCTTCTAATCTCAGATCAGACTACAAAAAATTATCACATGCAGTGCAGTGGAACGGCATGGCAGGTGAGGCAGCCATGCTTGCCACATGCCACACACCTCCACTCCTCATCCCCTTCACTCCTCTTCTTCCCTCCCACACTGCCCTCTCTTGCCTTCCATCTTCCTCCTCTTCCCTCCATCTGCTGCCAGCCTGCACATAGCTTAATGCCATACCACACCATGGAATGCCGTACCACACTACATCACATAGTGTCATACCGCACAGCACCACACCATACCACACAGTATCACACTGTGCTTCATCATAAACAGATTATATGATACCACACAATTTCATACCACACGCTTACCACATGGTTTCACACCACACTCTTACCACACACACTGTGCTACACCACACCACACCGTATCATACCAACCTTAATCATACACACTGAAACATACAATACCACACCCTACCATACCAAACTACAACATAGCACACTCCACCACACCACACAAATTTACAGCACAATGTATGATACCATACTGTTGATTACCACACTCTATCATGCCGCACATAATCATGTCACACAAAATATAGGCGCACGGACCGCAGAAGAGGAGGATTCCTCTGCCCCTCTCTCGCCCTAACACTAGGGTTCTCACTCAACTTAGCACCATTTATCCTCTCCCTCCCACTCCACTCACCCCACCTCTAACTCACCCACTTGCCACTCGAACCACCCACTATCGCTGTAATCCCACTTTACCAACCACTCACTCAAGATCACCACTCTCACCAACCACTCTCAATGAAATCTCACCACTCACTGTAACCACTCACTCTCACCACTCAGTATCACCACACACTTACCATTCTGACCACTCAATCTCACCACACTCTCACCACTCCAACCTCACCACTCAAACCACTCACCCTCACCCCCCTCTCTGCTCTCACTCTCACCTCCCATTCTCACGAATATCCCCCACCACTCACTCACTCTCACCGCTGTCAACTTTCACTCTCACCATTCATGCTATCATGCAACAGGTGGCATCAGTGCCATACGGCTCATCATGTGCCACCCAAGGGGACTCAGCCCCTTTCACTTGCTCTCGCCCACCCAAGGGACCTCAGCCCCTTTCAATTGCTCTCACCCACCCAAGGGGACTCAGCCCCTTTCACTTGCTCTCACCCACCCAAGGGGACTCAGCCCCTTTCACTTGCTCTCACCCACCCAAGGGGACTCAGCCCCTTTCACTTGCTCTCACCCCCCCAATGGGACTCAGCCCCTTTCACTTGCTCTCACCCACCCAAGGGGACTCAGCCCCTTTCACTCGCTCTCACCCAACCAAGGGGATTCAGCCCCTTTCACTTGCTCTCACCCAACCAAGGGGACTCAGCCCCTTTCACTTGCTCTCACCCACCCAAGGGGACTCAGCCCCTTTCACTTGCTCTCACCCAACCAAGAAGACTCAGCCCCTTTCATCCACTCATGCGCATCATGCAAGGTGGCATCAGTGCAACTCATCATGTACCACCAACAACAGGTGGCATCAGTGCAACTCATCATGTGCCACCAACAACAGGCGGCATCAGTGCCATCTGGCTCATCATATGCCACCGCCAACCCCACTGCCTCTCACCACCATCACCACCCCATCACCACCATCACCACCCCATCACCACCATCACCACCCAGCCCACCCATCCCCTCCCCACCTTACCTGCCAGCAGTAGGAGCAGCAGACAGCCCACTCCCCTTCGGAAACAGCACCCCCAGGGGCTGTGCCTTGAAGGGCGAGGTGTGGTAGTGGAAAATTGCTTCCAGCCCAAGACTCAAATCCCACCCCTGACGTAGCTAGAGCTGACGCGAACCAGAGTCGCCGGCCGCTCGACTCTGACGGTGCCCATTAAGCCTTAATGTCAGGTTTGTTACTTGAGCACCGAGTGCCGTGCCGCGTAGTTTCCACCCACCACACCCCGACCCGCAAGCCACAACCCCAGAGGATGCTGCCCCTAAGGCAGTGAGCTGCCCACTTGCTCCCATGCTCCCCACCCACCCCCATCACTTCACCCCATGCCTCTTACCTGTACCTACCATAGCCATTCAGAGCGCCATGATGCCAAGGCTGCTGGGGAGTGGGAGGAGGAGGGAGAGAAGGGGGGGGGAGATTAGAGGAGGGATGCCTCTGTATCGCCCTTGCTCCAGTGCGCCTCCCTCCTTCAGGCTGCTAGAAGGGGAGAGGGGGAGAAAGAGAGAGGAGGGAATCAGACAACACACCTGTTACCACACCTCACCTGATACCATACCTCACCTGATACCATACCTCGCTCATGACTCGAACTAACCTAGTCTGCCCCCTAGCTCCCCACCCCCCACTGCTGCTGCTGCTGCAGCTGCTGCTGCCGGTCTGCTACTCAGCTTCATCTGCTACAGTCTTCACTCCACGCCAAGTGACCTGGTGGGGGGGGGGGGGAAGAGAAAGGGGCAAGTGAAAGTAACTGAGTTGGGATGACCAGAGAAAGAGCAAACAAAACTGCAGCTGACGAAAACAAAAAAGGAAGAACTGAAGAGCAGAAAGGGAGCGAGATGAGGGCAAGAGATGAGGTGACGCACCTTGAGAGGCCAAGCCCACCCCGATACTCTCCCTTGTGGCAGCGATTGGCGTGCTGCCTCCCTTCCATCCCCACGAGTACCTGCACGGCCACAGGGGAGGGGCGTGGGGGAGCGTCGGTGTTGACCCCCGCCCCTCCCCTCCAACTGCAAGGCACACACGCAGAGCTGGTCAGTGGGCAGCGAGGGGATGAAGGTTGAAACTGCAAGAGAGGGGACGGCATTTGCAAGGCGGGAGAGGGGAGGGGCCACTGGTAGAGGCCAAGTCACAAACTGCAGACCCAAGGACTGCACCTGAGGGGGTACCTGCACACCTGCACCTGAGGGGGTACCTGCACACCTGCACCTGAGGGGGTACCTGCACCTGAGAGGAGTACCTGCACCTGAGAGGAGTACCTGCACCTGAGAGGAGTACCTGCACCTGAGAGGAGTACCTGCACCTGAGAGGAGTACCTGCACCTGAGAGGAGTACCTGCACCTGAGAGGAGTACCTGCACCTGAAAGGGTTACCTGAAGTAAGGGGGTCTGCAGCATGTGAGTCGGTCCCAACCCAACCAGTGGCACTGTTTCAAGAGGAAGGTGCGAAAGCGCATGCAAACACGAGATGCCAGCAAAGTACACAAGACATGGCGAGGCAGGCAAGGGGTTGAGGGAACTTAGCTGTAAGACGTGAGAGCGATCACAGGGCAGCTGCAGCAGCACCAGGTGACTCCTTCCCCGGCAGCCCTCCTCCCAGCCTTCCCGTGTGCGTCCCTCCCTGCACGGCCACCGGGGAGAGGCGTGAGGGAATGGCAGTGCCGACCCCACACCCCTCCCCCGCACCTGCAAGGAACACATGCAGAGCTGGTGAGTATTGCATTGAAGGGATGAAGGGTGAAACTGCAAGAGCAGCAGCGAAATTGCCGAGGGAAGTGAGGCCACTGGTGCAGCCTTAGCTTCAAGCCACAGACCCAGGGGGGGTATATACCTAGGCTTGACCTGAGAGTATACCTGCTATACCTGGGGGATTTACCCAAAAAAAGGAAATGTGGCTTGAAGGTTTGGCTCAACCAGAGGCTTGCGTTTGAGGAGACAAGTAACAGGAGGCGCAGCAAGAAAGCATGGAAAGCAAAGGAACACAATAGAGGGTTGTGAGACGAAAAGCAGGGCAGAGACTTAGCTGTGGAAAGGTTGGGTGGAGAGCAGCTGCTGCCTGTGCATTCCATGTCCCCCGCCACTGCCACTCCAGTGTGAGCAACCTGCTGGGACGAAAGGGGGAGGAACAGGACAGAGAGGGAAGAAGGAGGGGGAGGAGAAGACGCTGGTGCGAAGGAGGAGCAGAGGAGTGGGGAGGGAAAGCACGCACGGCAATGGAAAACAGAAAAGAGGCATAATCTGCAGCAGTAAGAGGGGGTGACGAAAAGGGGCTCACCTTGAGAGGCCAACCCCACCTCAGATACTCTCCTTCATGGCAGCATTCTTCCCGCCTTGCCTCCAGCCCACCACTGGCACCTGCATGGCCACAAGGGGAGGGGAGCGAAGAAGTGTCGGCGTTGACCCCCACGCCCCTCCCCTCAACCAGCAAGGAGCGAAACAAAGAGAAGTGAGCAAAATGCTAGGCGTGGAAATGTGAGAGGAGTGTGTGGGTGGGGTAGGATGGCAGGTGACAGCAGAAAAGGGGGCCACTAGTAGAGCCTCAGCTGCAAGCCACAGACCCAAGGGGGGGTATACCTAGGAGGCTTAACCTGAGAGAATACCTTCTGTACCTAGGTGATTTACCTTAAAAAATGGGGTCTGTTTCTTGAAGATGTGGCACGACCAGAGGCTCACGCTAAAAGGGAGGCGAAACAGGTGATGAAGAAAGGATCAAAGTATTAAGGAAGAGCAGTAAAGTGGAGGGAGAATGAGAGGGGAAGCAGCTGACCTTGTGCAGCAGGAAACAGTCCGCATGCTCTGCTCTCCCTCTGGCTGGAGTGCCACCCCTTGGCCTGCCCGCACGTGCCTCTGCTGCAGGAGCGGACTGGCTGCTGATGCTGCAGGGAGGGAGGGACAGGGAGGGAAACAGGGAGCAACGGAAATCAGTGAGAATGGGGAGAACAGCAAGCAGAAGCATGCGGCAGGGAGGGAGGAAAAACAAGAAGTATGCATGCGGAGAAGACCGAGCAGCAGCATTTGTGCATGGGGGGGAAGAGGCTCACCTTGTTCCAGACGACCCCATCCCGATACTCTCCCATCCCATCCCAGCCGAGTGGAGTGCTGCCCCCCTCCCCTCCCACCCCTGCCACCTGCACGGCCACAGGGGAGTGGTGCGGGCGAGTGGTGGTGTTGACCACCACGCCCCTCCCCTCCACCTGCAAGGAGAGAACTGAAGACAAGTGAGTAAGCGGCTAGGGGTAACAATGTGAAGGGCGTGCATGGTGGGTGGGGTGGGGTGGGGTGGGGTGGGGTGGGGTGGCAGGTAACATCAGGAGAGGATGCCACTGGTGCAGCTTCAGCTACAAGCCACAGACTCAAAGGGAGGCTTAACCTGAGAGGATACCTGAACCTGGGGTGGTTTACCGAAAAAAAGGGGTCTGTGGCTTGAAGTTGTAGCACGACCAGAGGCTCAGGTTTGAAGGGAGGTTCAGGTCTCTTGGATGTGACAGAGGGCAGCACATGAATAGAGAGAAAGGGCGGGGTACTTACCTTGGGTGGGTTGGGTGGAGAGCAGCTGCTGCCTGTGCACTCCATGTCCCACGCCACTGCCACTCCCGTGTGAGTGACATGATGGGATGAGAGGGGGCAGGTCGGGACAGAGACAGGAAGGGAGGAGAGGGGGTGGGGGGGGGGGGGGGGGGGAACGGGGAAGTGAAGGGGGCGCAGAGGAGTGGGGAGAGCAGTGGGGAAAGAAGCCAAGACAAGTGAAAGTGAAGAGTGCAGCAACCGCAAGCATGATGCGTGCATGAATGGACTGCTGCAGTAACACACCCAAGAGAAATCATACCAGCTGAACCAAACTAAATAAATAGCAGAGGCTGTACCAAGAAAAAAGATACCTACTAGCAAATCATAGGAAACCATGGATAGATACTGGACTACCCAGACGTCACGCTTGGTCACACTTGGTCACGCTTGGTCATGCTTGGTCACGCTTGGTCACGCTTGGTCACGGTTGGTCACACTTGGTCACGCTTGGTCACGCTCGGTCACGCTTGGTCACGCTTGGTCACGCTTGGTCACGCTTGATCACGATTGGTCACCCTTGGTCACGCTTGGTCACACTTGGTCATGCTTGGTCACCCTTGGTCATGCTTGGTCACGCTTGGTCACACTTGGTTACGCTTGGTCACACTTGGTCACACGCTTGGTCATGCTTGGTCACGGTTGGTCACACTTGGTCACGCTTGGTCACGCTTGGTCACACTTGGTAACGCTTGGTCACACTTGGTCACACTTGGTCACGCTTGGTCACCCTTGGTGACACTTGGTCACGCTTGGTCACGATTGGTCACGCTTGGTCACGCTTGGTCACGCTAGGTCACACTTGGTCAACTTTGGTCACAATTGGTCACGCTTGGTCGGCTTGGTAACGCTTGGTCAGGCTTGGTTACGCTTGGTCACACTTGGTCACGCTTGGTCATGCTTGGTCACGCTTGGTCACGCTTGGTCACGGTTGGTCACACGTGGTCACGCTTGGTCACGCTCGGTCACGCTTGGTCACTCTTGGTCACGCTTGGTCACGCTTGATCACGATTGGTCACCCTTGGTCACGCTTGGTCACACTTGGTCATGCTTGGTCACCCTTGGTCATGCTTGGTCACGCTTGGCCACACTTGGTTACGCTTGGTCACACTTGGTCACACGCTTGGTCACGCTTGGTCACGGTTGGTCACACTTGGTCACGCTTGGTCACGCTTGGTCATGCTTGGTCATGCTTGGTCACACTTGGTCACTCTTGGTCACACTTGGTAACGCTTGGTCACACTTGGTCACACTTGGTCACGCTTGGTCACGCTTGGTCACGCTTGGTCACGCTTAGTCACGCTAGGTCACAATTGGTTACGCTTGGTCAGGCTTGGTAACGCTTGGTCAGGCTTGGTTACGCTTGGTCACACTTGGTAACGCTTGGTCACACTTAGTCACGCTTGGTCACGCTTGGTCACGCTTGGTCACGCTCGGTCACGCTTGGTCACGCTTGGTCACGCTTGGTCACGCTTCGACACGCTTGGTCACACTTAGTCACGCTTGCTCACCCTTGGTCATGCTTGCTCACCCTTGGTCACGCTTGGTCACGCTTGGTCACGCTTGGTTACGCTTGGTCACACTTGGTCACACGCTTGGTCACGCTTGGTCAACTTTGGTCACAATTGGTCACGCTTGGTCGGCTTGGTAACGCTTGGTCACAATTGGTCACGCTTGGTCGGCTTGGTAACGCTTGGTCAGGCTTGGTTACGCTTGGTCACACTTGGTCACGCTTGGTCATGCTTGGTCACGCTTGGTCACGCTTGGTCACGGTTGGTCACACGTGGTCACGCTTGGTCACGCTCGGTCACGCTTGGTCACGCTTGGTCACGCTTGGTCACGCTTGATCACGATTGGTCACCCTTGGTCACGCTTGGTCACACTTGGTCATGCTTGGTCACCCTTGGTCATGCTTGGTCACGCTTGGCCACACTTGGTTACGCTTGGTCACACTTGGTCACACGCTTGGTCACGCTTGGTCACGGTTGGTCACACTTGGTCACGCTTGGTCACGCTTGGTCATGCTTGGTCATGCTTGGTCACACTTGGTCACTCTTGGTCACACTTGGTAACGCTTGGTCACACTTGGTCACACTTGGTCACGCTTGGTCACCCTTGGTGACACTTGGTCACGCTTGGTCACGCTTGGTCACGCTTGGTCACGCTTAGTCACGCTAGGTCACAATTGGTTACGCTTGGTCAGGCTTGGTAACGCTTGGTCAGGCTTGGTTACGCTTGGTCACACTTGGTAACGCTTGGTCACACTTGGTCACGCTTGGTCATGCTTGGTCACACTTAGTCACGCTTGGTCACGCTTGGTCACGCTTGGTCACGCTCGGTCACGCTTGGTCACGCTTCGACACGCTTGGTCACGCTTCGACACGCTTGGTCACACTTAGTCACGCTTGCTCACCCTTGGTCATGCTTGCTCACCCTTGGTCACGCTTGGTCACGCTTGGTCACGCTTGGTTACGCTTGGTCACACTTGGTCACACGCTTGGTCACGCTTGGTCACACTTGGTCACACTTGGTCACACTTGGTCACGCTCAGTCACGCTTGGTCACCTTTGGTCAAACTTGGTTACGCTTGGTCATGTTTGGTCACGATTGGTCACGCTTGGTCACGCTTGGTCACGCTAGGTCACACTTGGTCACGCTTGGTCAGGCTTGGTAACGCTTGGACAGGCTTGGTTACGCTTGTTCACACTTGGTAACGCTTGGTCACGCTTGGTCACACGCTTGGTCACGCTTGGTCACGCTTGGTCACGCTTGGTAAAGCTTGGTCACGCTTGGTCACGCTTGGTCACGCTTGGTCACACTTGGTCATGCTTGGTCACACTTGGTCACGCTTGGTCACACTTGATCACAATTGGTCACGCTTGGATACCCTTGGTCACGCTTGGTCATGCTTGGTCACGATTGGTCACGCTTGGTCACGCTTGGTCACGGTTGGTCACACTTGGTCACGCTTGGTCACGCTCGGTCACGCTTGGTCAGGCTTGGTCACGCTTGGTCACTCTTGGTCACGCTTGGTCACCACGCTTGGTCATGCATGGTCACTACGATTGGTCACGCTTGGTCACGCTTGGGCACGCTTGGTCACGCTTGGTCATGCTTGGTCACGCTTGGTCACGCTTGGACACTCTTGGTCACGCTTGGTCACGCTTGGTCACACTTGGTCACGCTTGGTCACACTTGGTCACGCTTGGTCACACTTGGTCACACTTGGTCACGCTTGGACACCCTTGGTCACACTTGGTCACGCTTGGTCACGCTTGGTCACGATTGGTCATGCTTGGTCACGCTTGGTCACGCTTGGTCACACTTGGTCAAGCTTGGTCACACTTGGTCACGCTTGATCAGGCTTGGTCACGCTTGGTCACTCTTGGTCACGCTTGGTCACCACGCTTGGTCACGCTTTGTCACCACGCTTGGTCACGCTTGGTCACGCTTGGTCACGCTTGGGCACGCTTGGGCACGCTTGGTCACGCTTGGTCACGCTTGGTCACGCTTGGTCACGCTTGGTCACGCTTGGTCACGCTTGGACACGCTTGGTCACGCTTGGTCACGCTTGGTCACGCTTGGTCACGCTTGGTCGCGCTTGGTCACACGCTTGGTCACGATTGGTCACGCTTGGTCACGCTTGGTCACGCTTGGTCACACTTGGTCAAGCTTGGTCACACTTGGTCACGCTTGGTCAGGCTTGGTCACACTTGGTCACTCTTGGTCACGCTTGGTCACCACGCTTGGTCACGCTTGGTCACCACGCTTGGTCACGCTTGGTCACCACGCTTGGTCACGCTTGGTCATGCATGGGCACGCTTGGTAAGGCTTGGTCACGCTTGGTCACGCTTGGTCATGCTTGGTCACGCTTGGTCACTCTTGGTCATGCTTAGTCACGCTTGGTCACGCTGGGTCACCCTTGGTCACGCTTGGTCAGCCTTGGTCACGCTTGGTCACCCTTGGTCACGCTTGGTCACTCTTGGTCCCGCTTGGTCACGCTTGGTCATGCTTGGTCACGCTTGGTCACCACGCTTGGTCACGCTTGGCCAGGCTTGGTCACGCTTGGTAACGGTCGGTCCCGGTTGGACACGCTTTGTCACGCTTGGTCACGCTTGGTCACGCTTGGTCACGCTTGGTCACCCTTGGTCACCCTTGGTCACACTTGATCACCCATACTTATGTTTGTAGAGACAGTACCATTTTCTTGCCACTCTATTAAATTAGGCCTTGTACTTTAGTAACACTAGGTTCTAACCTTTCCGATCCACACAGTTTGAGAGATTTTAGAGTTCCCGCTACGCCTTGTACCTGCACACAAGCGTGCATACTGAGTGAACCGACCAAAGCATTACATTCTCTATAGAAATACAGTGAGTACCACATATATTTCCCTTTTTAATTATAGTATACCATTCCCCACCCCGGTACCACGTTCGAACCTTTTGGATCTACATAATTCGTCAGATATCGACATTCCAAACGTGCATGGTACCTGCACTACCAGCGCGCATGCCGACCAAACTGACTAGCGCATAACTTATGTTTGTAGAGAAAGATAGTACCATATTCTTGCCAGTCTACTAGATTAGGCCTTGTACTTTAATAGTAATAGGTTCTAAACTTTTTGATCCACATAATTTGTGAGATTTCTAAGTTCCAGCTACGCCTTGTAAGTGCACACAAGCGTGCATACTGAGAGAACCGACCAACGCATAATTTTCTCTGTAGAAATACAGTGAGTACCACATGTGTTTCCCTTTTACTTTCAAGTATTCCATTCCCCACCCCCCTACCACCTTCTAACCTTTTGGATCTACATAATTTGACAGATATAGACATTCCAAACGTGCATGGTACCTATACTAGAGGCGAGCATTCCGACCAAACTCCAGCGATGACGGCTGTGCCTACCCTCAAATGCTAAGGAAGGGAAGCGCATGGGTGATAAGAGTAGGGAGAAGGGTGATGAGAGAAGGGAGAAGGGAGATGAGAGTAGGGAGAAGGGTGATGAGAATAGGGAGAAGGGTGATGAGAATAGGTAGAAGGGTGATGAGAGTAGGGAGAAGGATGATGAGAGTAGGGAGAAGGGTGATGAGAGTAGGGAGAAGAGATATTAGAGTAGGGAGAAGGGTGATGAGAGTAGAGAGAAGGGTGATGAGAGTAGAGAGAAGGGTGATGAAAGTAGGGAGAAGGGTGATGCGAGCAGGGAGAAGGGTGATGAGATTAGGGAGAAGGGTGATGAGAGTAGGGAGAAGGGTGATAAGAGTAGGGAGAAGGGTGATGAGAGTAGGGAGAAGGGAAATGAGAGTAGGGAGAAGGGTGATGAGAGTATGGAGAAGGGTGATGAGAGTAGGGAGAAGGGTGATGAGAGTAGGGAGAAGGGAGATTAGAGTAGAGAGAAGGGTGATGAGAGTAGGAAGAAGGGTTATGAGAGTAGGGAGAAGGGTGATGAGACTAGGGAGAAGGGTGATGAGAGTAGGGAGAAGAGAGATGAGAGTATGGAGAAGGAATATGAGAGTAGGGAGAAAGGTGATGAGAGAAGGGAGAAGGGTGATGAGAGTAGGGACAAGGGTGATGGGAGTAGGGATTTTGCCTCTAGCCTCAAAACGCGGAAGGATCCGCACATGTACAGGAAGAGCAGCGGGCGCTCATCATTCGTGAGCGCCGATGACCGATGATGCTTGCAACCCACCCGCGCCCTTGCTGGCATGGCAATAGGCTTACACAAGCGCAGCCAGATGACCCAGAAGAAGAAAAACGCTCAGACGAGCGCTTCCAACCCCAAAACGCAGAAGGATCCGCACATCTGCAGGAAGTGCAATAAGCGCACTTCATTCACGAGCGCTGATGACCGATGATGCTCGCAACCCTCCCATGCCCTTGCTGGCTTGGCAAAAGGCCCAGACAAGTGCAGCCTGGTGACCCGGCAGAAGAAAAACGCTCAAAAGGAGCGCTTCCAACCCCAAAACGCGGAAGGATCCGCACATGTGGAGGAAGTGCAGCGGGCGCTCTTCATTCGCGAGCGCTGATGACCGACGACGCTCGCAACCCTCCCACGCCCTTGCTGGCTTAGCAATAGGCCCAGACAAGTACAGTCAGGTGACCCGGTAGAAAATAAAACACTCCGAACGAGCGCTTCCAGCCCCAAAACGCAGAAGGATCCGCACACGTGCAGGAAGTGCAGCGGGCGCTCTTCATTCGCGAGCGTTGATGACCAATGATGCTCGCAACCCTCCCACGCCATTGCTGGCTTAGCAATAGGCCCAGACAAGCGCAGCCACGTGACCCAGCGGAAGAAAAACGCTCGGAACGAGCACTTCCAAACCCAAAACGCGGAAGGATCCGCAAATGTGTAGCGGGCGCGCATCATTCGCTGGATTTGCAAAAGGTTCAGACAAGCGCAGCCTTGTGACCCAATGGAAGAATAACGCTCAGAACGAGCGCTTCTAGCCTCAAAACTCCGAAGGATCCGCACATGTGCAGGAAGTGCAGCGGGCGCTCATCATTCGCGAGCGCCGATCACCGATGATGGTTGCAACCTTCCCACGCCCTTGCTGGCTTGGAAATTGGCCCAGACAAGCGCAGCCAGGTGACTCGGTAGAAGAAAATTGCTCCGAACGAGTGCTTCCAGCCCCAAAACGCGGAAGGATCTGCACATGTGCAGGAAGTGCAGTGGGCGTTCTTCATTCGCGAGCGCTGATGACCAATGATGCTCGCAACCCTCCTACGCCATTGCTGGCTTGGCATTAGGCCCAGGCAAGCGCAGCCAGGTGACCCGGTAGAAGAAAAAAGCTCCGAACGAGAGCTTCCAGCCCCAAAACGCGGAAGGATCCGCACATGTGCAGGTTGTGCAGCTGGCGCTCTTCATTCGCGAGCGCTGATGCCAATGATGCTCGCAACCCCACCACGCCCTTGCTCGCTTGGCAATAGGCCCAGAGAAGCACAGCCAGGTGACCCGGTAGAAGAAAAACGTTCCGAACGAGCGCTTCCAGCCCCAAAACGCGGAAGGATCCGCACATGTGCAGGAAGTGCAGCGGGCGCTCTTTATTCGCGAGCGTTGATGACCAATGATGCTCGCAAACCCTCCCACGCCCTTGCTTGCTTGGCAATAGGACCAGAGATGCGCAGCCAGGTGACCCGGTAGAAGAAAAACGCTCAGACGTGTCAACGGCAGTTGTTGTTGGCCCCGTCCTCGCTTGGCCGGAGCCGACTTGGTGGTTGGGTGTACGGGAGGTACAGCCGACTTGCAGCAGTGGGCGACGCCGACTTGGGAGAGCTGGTCGACGGGGTTGGTCGTCTTGCACGAGGCCATCGCAATGCCACCAACTTGGGAAGTCGGTGGCCGACTTCAACTGGTGGTCGGCGATGTGGCACGTCGACCTGGAAGTCGGCGCCAACTTGCAAGGTCGCCGACCTGGGAGGTCGCCGACTTCAAGAGGTCGTCCCGGAATTCGGCGCTGACGTAGAAGGGGCGTCGACTTGATGACGCCGACTTCACGTAGCTGACTTGGGTGGTCAGCTGACGACTGTGCTGGTCGACGTGGAGCTGGTCGACCAGGAGTGACGTCGACATGGAGCTGGTCGACCAGGGGTGTGGTCGACCTGGTGAGGTCGACTGGAGGTGGCCGTCGACTTGGGAGGTCGACGGGCACATACAGGAGCATCTGGTCGACGTGGTTGCCCGGTTGACCAGGTTACCTGGGTGACGAGGTTCTACGGAAGAGTGCGACGGTCGCCCAGACGATGTTGGCGAGACTGACCTTGGTGGTGGTCTCCCGAGGTCGACGTGGCGGATCAGGTAGAGTCGTTTGCACGAGGATGACTTGGTGTGTGCGTTGTGCAGGTGACGAGGCTCATCACGCCAATCATCTGCAAGCACCTGCGAAGCTGGTGCGCTGCTCTTCTGCGGGAGCAACGCGGGCACGCGGTCGACCTGCCGCGTTCGCACGCCGTCGACTTTGCACTGCTGGAACGCGGTCGACCATGCTGCGCTGGAAGTCGACCGACCTGAATCCTAGCTCTGATGTAGTCTTGTCTTGCCAACCTAATTGCACCATTGTTGTCAACTTTCTCTAGTAAAACTCTTGTCGAATTGCCCCGTGACCTAGCAAGCAGTGTGTGCACTAGGACAACGACTAAGGACCATTGAACGCAGAGATCGCACGAGCATCCGTGCCTAGCCCGTAGTCTAGCTCCCGCTGTAGTACTTATCTCCGCAAGACGAGCGCTTCCAACCCCAAAACGCGGAAGGATCCGCACCTCTGCAGGAAGTACAGCGGGCGCTCTTCATTCGCGAGCGCTGATGACCAATGATGTTTGCAACCCTTCCACGCCCTTGCTGGCTTGGCAATAGGCCCAGACACGCGCAGCCAGGTGACCCGGTAGATGAAAACGCTCCGAACGAGTGCTTCCAGTCCCAAAACGCGGAAGGATCCGCACATGTGTAGGAAGTGCAGCGGGCGCTCTTCATTCGCGAGCGCTGATGACCGATGATGCTCACAACCCACCCACGCCCTCGCTGGCTTGGCAATTGGCCTAGACAAGCGCAGCCAGGTGACGCGGTAGAAGAAAAATTCTCCGAACGAGCGCTTCCAGTCCCAAAACGCGGAAGGATCCACGAATGTGCAGGAAGTGCAGCGGGCGCTCTTCATTCGCGAGCGCCGATGACCGATGATGTTCGCAACCCACCCACGCCCTCGCTGGCTTGGCAATAGGCCCAGACAAGCGCAGCCTGGTGACCCGGCGGAAGAAAAATGCTCAAAAGGAGCGCTTCCAGCCCCAAAACGCGGAAGGATCCACGAATGTGCAGGAAGTGCAGCGGGCGCTCTTCATTCGCGAGCGCCGATGACCGATGATGCTCGCAACCCACCCACGCCCTTGCTGGCTTGGCAATAGGCCCATACAAGTGCAGCCAGGTGACCCGGTAGAAAATAAAACGCTCCGAACGAGCGCTTCCAGCCCCAAAACGCGGAAGGATCCGCACATGTGCAGGAAGTGCAGCGGGCGCTCTTCATTCGCGAGCGCTGATGACCGATGATGCTCACAACCCTCCCACGCCCTTGCTCGCTTGACAATAGGCCTAGACAAGCGCAGCCACGTGACCCGGTAGAAAATAATACGCTCGGAACGAGCGTCTCCAGCCCCAAAACGCGGAAGGATCCGCACATGTGCAGGAAGTGCAGCGGGCGCTCTTCATTCGCGAGCGCCGATGACCGATGATGCTTGCAGCCACCCAAGCCCTTGCTGGGTTGGCAATAGGCCCAGAAAAGCGCAGCCTGGTGACCCGGCGGAAGAAAAACGCTCATAACGAACGCTTCTATCCTCAGAACGGGGAAGGATCCGCACATATGCAGGAAGTGCATCGGGCGCTCATCATTCGCGAGCGCTGATGATCGATGATTATTGCAACCCACCCACGCCCTTACTGGCTTGGCAATAGGCCCAAACAAGCGCAGCCAGGTGACTCGGTAGAAGAAAAACGCTCTGAACGAGCGCTTCTAGCCCCAAAACGCGGAAGGATCCGCATTGGTGCAGGAAGTGCAGCGGGCGCTCTTCATTCGCGAGCGCTGTTGACCAATGATGCTCGCAACCCTCCCTCGCCCTTGCTGGCTTGGCAATAGGCCCAGACAAGCGCAGCCACGTGACCCGGAGGAACCGTACGAATCAGCAGCGCCTAAGCCACATGGCCGGTCGAAATCAAAGCAGGGGGCCGATGTGAGTGACGTGGGTTGCCTATCGACCCCAAACACTGCCAACTAAGCTGAGATATTCCTTTGGGGGGTCACTAAGCCGTTGTGAGGGCTGAAAGAGCGCGAGAGGAGGTGGCTCGTAGGGGTAATATCCGCGGCGGGTCGAAGCGCGGCGAACATTAGTGCAGAAAAGAGGAGAAAGAAGCTATGGCGTGGTGGTGGCAGATCTGGCGGGACGGGGGTACGGCTGTGAGTCAGAGAAGAGCTGCTGGAATTTGGAGTCTCATCACTGGCTGCTGTAGGGGATGAGTGTTGGAGTGGATTCAGTTAGATGCCTCGAGGTACACCACATGCGATTCTTAGGGTAAAACTATCACATTAAAGCTCGCGGCCCAAATTGCGGCCGCGCTGGGCAACCTTAGTAAGGTTGATTGATAGTTGTTTTGCAGGTGCTGGTTTTGCGAATTGAGGTTACGGGTTGTACGAAGGAAGTTGATTGGCTAGTCAATTTGAAACACTGAGCTGATTGGCTAGCAAAATTGAAACAGTGTTTCCGGAGGGGGTTGGGTGGGAAACTGGCAAGGATAGTATTTGTGCAATATGGGACTCATGCAACCAAACGCGAAGTGGCCCCTGGGGTCTACTGAGTCAGCGAAATGTGTTTGAGATTGGCGAGAAGTTGGGCGAAACCAAAGCCCTCAACCCGCCCAACACCTCGACTAGCGAACCCTGCTCCCTCACCTCCCAACATGCAACTTCAGTAAAGTTGTACAATTTGGGCCGCGAGCTTTAAATATTTGGTGTTCCAGTACATTCCTCACTGGAATTTGGGCCGAATAAATTTTCCCGCGCGGAACATTCAAAAATTGCGCTTCGTCGGACAGACCCAGCGCAGCTACTAAGGCTGCGGTGGACTCCGTTCTGGTGACGAACGTCGTCTGAATCTCTATTGTCATTCGCTAACGAAAGGTTTGCGCTGAGCGGCGGGCGGAGACCAGCGGAAGCCTCTGAATTGGCGACTTCTAGCAGAAAGCAGCCTTCCCGAGACCATGTCAACGGGGACATTCCCAAGGCCATTCCAGTCACCACAGCTAAATTCCAGTCACTTTTTCTTCAG